AGCAGAGGGGTATGTCAGTGTAACCTCAAGACCTTCTGGTCTTAATAAGCAGTTTTCTACAGTTAGTTAAGATTCCTTAAATGTCCCTGACTGCTTTAGCTACACACACACACACACACACACACACACACACACACACAGTGGTATAAGCACGTGCGGGTCTATATATTGACGTAAGGGAACAGTAGAATGGCTTGCGTGGCACAAGGCTGACACCACAAACTTTTCACCAAATGATTCTCGGAAGCCACTTGGTCCTTTCTCTGATTTTCTACCAGTCATTTAAAAGTCTCTTTCTTTTTTTTCATCCACTCCTGCTCTGTAAATCCCCTCCATCTTTCTGTCTTCTCCCTGCATTTGTCACAATAAATCTGGCCAAGTTCTGTTCTGCTTTGCAAACCACCATCACTACCAGAGGGCTCCCCACTCTTTCCACACACACACATACACACACACTAACACACACACACTATGCCTCTCCGGCATAGAAGTGAAACCCTATCTAGTGTTGTTTCTCTTTTTACCACAACCGCAATTTTCTTCTCCATAACTCTTTCTCTCGTTCTCTTTCTGTCATCTCCCCCAGAGGCGTATTTTGATTTCCACCCATCCCTTGCTTTTGTCCGCCCGCAGCTCTTTCTCTCTCTCTCTCTTTGTTGTGATTGTGTCTCTTTCTTTTGCTCTTTCCATGCAGTCCTTCGCTTTCCTCTCAACCTTCTCAGGATTCCCTGTGTCTGGTGTCATATTATATCTGTCCTAACCACCATTTCAGTGAACGTGGGACCACCGTTGTAGATTTACTGCTTGTTTGGTTGTTCAAGTTGTTTCCATGACTCACTCACTGATCGCTCTCCATCTCTCTCTCTGTATTTGTGTGTGTCTTATGTGTTTAGCATGAACTCTTCACCTTTACTAATAGCGTTGAGTTCATTGCAAGTGTCTAGGTTCCTCCATTCCTCTAATGTTTGTTATGTGTGTGTGTGCATAACATTATTGAGTTGTTTACACAGTCTGCTTACAATGAAAGTATGCAGGATTATTATATAAGCCCAAACAGAGTGGCCTCATATTGCTGTCCCAACACACACACACACACACACACACACACACACACACACACACACACACACACACAGAATTAGATATTAACAATGGAGTAGCTCCCAGCTGCTGACATTAAGCTGTTTTAATTTGGTGCCCTTTACCAATGTAATTAGCCCCCTATATGGAGGGGGGAGAGGGATATGAGAGAGTGACAGAGGGAGAGAGGCACAAAGCAGGGAACCCAACCCTTTCCACCTCTCACCACCGTTTTCCTAATTAGTGACCACACACAGCTCCTGTCAGCCTCCAGAGTCGATCTCCATCTCCTCTACACTCATCTAATCCAATTTTGCTTTCTGCCTGTCCTCCCCTCTTCCTTATCCTCCTCATCACCCTCATCCCACTTCTTTTTCCATACATGAGGTTGATCTCTGTAGCATGAAAAGGTCAGTAAAATAATTTCTACAAATGCCCTAATAAGGATTGTTTGATATATATAATATATATTTGTCAGTTCAAAACAAGGGGAATCAAGCTGGAATGTAAGAGATATAATAATCATTACATCTGTATACTGCAGTCGGTCACCACTGAGTTACAGTATACACACACACACACACACACACACACCTCAAATGGAGAAACAGGAGGTGTTTAGTTTGTTTTGTGCAGAAGTGCGTGTGCACACACACACCCATTGGAAATCTGCTGACTGAGCAGGGTGAGGCGGAAACAGAGAGACGAAAACTGTTCAATTATGGAAAGAGCTCTGGGTATAAATCTACCTCTGTCAGCCTAAATAATGACTACTGACACAGTGTGTGAGAGTGTGTGTCTGTGTGTGTGTGTGTTTGTGTGTGTGGGAGAGAGAGAGAGAAGGGGAATGCCATCACTACTCAAATTATTGGTGACATGGTGTGTGTGTGTGCGTGTGTGTGTGTGTGTGTGGTGGGGGGTCTTTTACATAATGACCATGTGATTGACTGGCAGACTGAGTGGCAGACGGTGCATATATGAGACACCCTCCTCTTTACTGTGCACTGTAACAAGGACTCCACTGATATTTAATGACTTTGACTAGCTGTGTTACCACTGGCTAAGTAGCTTACTGCAGGTATTTATTTACTGTAAGTAGAATTTCCTGCTGAAAACACAACGTATCTAACTCCGATGCTGTATTAAGTACTCTGAAAAACAAGAAACACACATTTAGGAGACCACAACTAGCCCATGTTTGTGCATTGCTCGCTGTCTGCAATGCATCAAAAAGCTAGCTGAGAGAGACCAAGTTCCTAGTGAAAGGAAACTTGGATAATAGTGTTAAATGCAGAGACTATGAAGTAAAACGTTAAGTATGACATCAAATGAGAAGTACTGGTGGAAAACATGAGTGTTTTTGGATGGAAATCCTGCCACAGATCTAAATGGCAAATCAGACAAACTGTACTTAAAAACCAAAAGTGCTGGATTGATTTGTATGTCGCTTAAAGTGCTGGACTAATTATGGCTCCCTCTTCTGAAGATGAGTGGGAGGGAAAATGAGTTCTTTACAGCAGGAAACCCATTCCAGACTAAATACCTAATTAGCCCATTGTACAGCCAGCTAATATCTGGTTTTATGGTTAAGTGCAGCACTGGACCACAAGTTTTAATGTCTAGTAGACGGGGGAAGGCCAGTTTAGGGAACCTGGCAAAATCTATTGGAGGTAGACGACTGAAGCGCATGACTGTGGTTAAAAAGGCCGCCCCATTAGAGAGCGTAGCTACAAGGCAGAGCCATGAGCTCAACAGCTGAGATGGTAGAAGCGAAGTCGGTCTTTATGTCAGGAAACTACTGACAGTAAATTGCTCATTAGTTCACTGTGCAACAAAGCTCTGCAAGGTATGTGATTGTAATTACAGCCTTAAGTGTCAAGCTGAGTACGACAACAACTGAGATGATAAAAAGAGGCTGCCGGCATCGAGCAGCTGACTACATCATTGAACCGCAGTCAGCTACAAAGGACATGCGTTGAAGGGAAGCAAGAACCATTAGGCGATTGTGCCATTAAATTCTCTGGAGAAGAGAGGGATAATTCTCTAGATCACAAAATAATGTTAACAAGGATTCATTTTTAACAACTTCCATGGTCCAATCAGTAGTTTTTGGCAATATTCAACTGTAGGGATATTGCATTTTGGGTCATGTATTAAAAATTTACACTTATTTTTCTCTGAACATCCCTGAAAATATAAAAGTCTCATCCCAGTGGTTTGCCACATAACAGAATTTACAGCAGGTGTGAGCATTAAAACAAAAAATTATACAAATTATTGTTAATTTACTTGTGAAAAATAGACTAATCTTGAGAATGGTGGTAGGTTGGGTTTTGGCTGGTAGACTACAACCAAAAGTAATTCTATGACCCTACAGTTGACTTTTTCTATATAAACTGTATGGGATGGATGAACGGATGGACAGATGAATGAATGGGTGGTCTGATGGATTGATTAACTGCTTCTATCATTAATCACATATAGTTAGTTATAAGTTATACAATAATTATTTTGAACAACCACTGACAGACCTTAATTAGGATGGTTTCTCTGTCAAAAAGGAGTTTTTTGTCTCTTCACAGTCGCCAAGTGTTGCTCAACGTGGGAACTTTTGGGTTTATCTATAATATTGTAAGGTCTCGACTTTACTATTCAAAGTGCCTTGTGATAATGGATGGATGGATGGATGAATGACCGATAAAGGAGAGAAAAACAGGGGCAGGCACGTCTGCAAAGACAAGGCGAGTCAGACCCAAATATTTAAACTTGAGCGTTTTTGCACACAGACACATATATAAACACTCCGGCACCAGCACTGAACCTGCGCCCAGTCCTAAGTGTTTCAATGTGTGATAACTCAAAGAGAAAGAGAAGGAAAAGATAAACGGAACTGTCCTACTGAAGTGAAACCAACATGATTGTATATGGTTTAAAATGACTCATGCTTGATTTTCAGGCCTATTGTGTTTGTTGAAATGTAGAAAAGAGGGGAGTGATTACATTCCTCTGATGGGAGGGGAGTCAAATGGGCAGAGAGGGGTAGCCACAAGCAACGCCACACTCTGCCACCCTGTCTAACATTATTTTCTATTCCTGCTAATGTGTTTACACCCTTTGGTATAAAAGAGCTGGGTCAGATCTGTAACTTTGTTAGATTAAATAACAGAAGCAGCTGCAGGCAGCCTTTTGTATTCTCAAGTCTGATTTTTTCTTATAGCAATCTGCCCTATTACTACACAGCTATTTACTAGT